ATATTTATTTGATTTACTATTTTTAAGGTAGGCTAAGTGGTTGCAAACTAGGGGAGAGCAGGGCATAAGGTAACACTTTTTAGTTTTGGCCAAATAATAAACAAAGTATTGGGGTTAGACAAACCATTTGTTTTTTACCAACAAAACACAAGCCTCTCCTACAAATGAGCACTGGTTGTATGATCGCCGGACTTATGGTTTCTGTGCAGTATTGCCAAAAGTGCCAGGAGTAAAAATGTGACAACTTACTCCTCCAGTGGGGCAAGTTGTAACAGAGAGAGGGTTAGTTGTTGCCCATGCGCATAAAGGCAGATTTTACACAGTTAATTTGATTTCTGTTTACTTTAAGTAGTAGCTATATTTCCTCAGTAATTAGCTTAATTTATTTTTTATTCTACATAGCACAGTATGTTTATTTATTTATTTATCTACTGGATAAACACATTTGGATTTATTTGCATTATTATCCATTATTATACAATGGATTTATTTGCCATATTAGCAATAAAATTATTATTATTTTCTATTAAAAAGGCATTTTTTCTATGAAAAACTATTTTATGTAAAAAGTTCCCAACATTACACTCAAAATGTAAAAATGATTTTGTTGGTTTAATTGGTGTCCAACAGTGTGTGGGTAATTGTAACACCCTGTTACTAACCCGCTGTGTTGTGTTTTCTTCAAAACTGGCTAGCAGTCATTGTGTTTCTTACATCTTTCAAAATGGTTTCATCTTTTAGCCTTGAAGACGCTAATCACAGCAATATAAGATTTTACGTTCATATTTAAATAAAGAAACCTCGACTATAAAAAAACAAAAAAAAAACTTTTGTGCTGCAAAAATGGTGCTCCTGTGTTTCTCATCTAAATTTTGCCGAACTTTTTCAATAATTGTCAGAAAGACGTCTGTGACACTGTGGTGAAAACCTTGGAAGCATGCCATAGTTAATCCTGAGCAAATACCTTAAAACTCTGTGTTACATTTAACCCTGTTTTACTTTGTGCCCCGCTCTCCTCTATTTTATGGGCTTAATTAATAATTTAAACATTACTTATATATATATATATAATTTGTTTGTTTAAACTCAGCCCAAATTGTTTGCAACCACTTACCTTCAAAAAAAATAATCCAATTAACGTTTCCCAGTGTTTTTTAACCATACAATAGTAAAGCATATTGTAATGTAGGGCTATTTGTTATAGTGTTTAATATATGTTTGTATTTTAATACATTAGTTTTAAGGATTTAAAATAGGTCTACTGCAAAATACATTGTTGGAATCTACCTCAGGGGTGTCCAAACTCGGTCCTGAAGAGCCAGTGTCCTGCTGAGTTTAGCTCCAGCTTGCTTCAACACACCTGACCGGAAGTTTCTAGTATAAGAGCTTGATTGCCTGGTTCAGGTGTGTTTGATTAGGGTTGGAGCTAAACTCTCCAGGACACTGGCCCTTCAGGATCCAGGACCCCTGATCTACCTGATGACATAAATAAATTAGGGAAAGTTATGTGCGAAGTCATAGTGGCACATATAAGAAACAAAACTAGTTTAATTCTTCAGTCTGTACAGATTCATTAAAAACCCAGGACTTATACTACAGCAGGGTATACATAAGATTAGGTTTATTTGCAAAGACAGATAACTTTTTTTTTGTCAATTCAGATATCTTGATTTTGTGTTGTGCATTGAAGATCGCAAAATATATAATATTATTATAAGAATTATATATTATTATTATTATATTATAATATTATTATTCATTTAATAATTAACTAAATATATAACTAACTGCTGGAGTTTTTAGTTTTAATCTTGTTTTGTTTTGAGTATTGAAGTTTAATTGCGATAAATATATAAAATCTCTTTATATATCCCCTTTTTTAAAATGTAAGACTGTTAAGAGGTTGACTAATCATTGTACTTTTTATTTTTTTGCAATAGAGATAATGGATATTTTACAGGCCATACAATATGTAGAAACACAATCAACAGATGTAGCATTGTGTTCTGGCTCATTATCTGCATTAAATGGTTTAAACACAGTCGGAGATCCTCTTCAAGACAGGACTTACTATGTGTACATTTTTACAGAATTGACAGACACGCTGACAGATGCACACTTAGAGATAAAGGTACAAAATCTGTCACTGGGGTGGTAACCTTTCAAACGGTACACTTTTCCACCACTGCAGGTGAAAATCAGTACCTTTAGGGTACACTTTTGTACTGTTTTGGTATTGATATGCACATTTAAGGACCTGTTAGGAACAAAAAAATGTACCTTTTAAAAATGTACCAACCAATGTAACAGATTTTGTACCTTTACTTCTGAGAGTGTACTGTATATAGTACTGTGTATATAAAAGAAAACATATTACTGTTTTACATGGACTGATGTACAGCACCCTAAGCAGTGTTCTATATAAATATGTATTATGTCTACATAAATAAACCAATCTAATGAAGTATGAGCGACTCCTGGTGGTGTTATGTTGCCTTGACAAACTTTAATAATTAGAACACACCCTTTAAAGAAATTACCTAAAATATGAATTTTGTATCACGTGGTTTATGGGATTGTGTTGATGACTCGAGCTGATTTAACACTTCAGAAAGTGCCGTACTAGGAATAAAATTTCAAATTTTGTGACATTTTACAAACAAAAAGTAACAAGCATTGGCCTACATAGTAATCAGTCTAAGATTACTTGTTTTAAATGTGTGAAATGAATGTATACATTATACAAGTTTCACTTCTTCAATGGAATTACTGAGATAAATGAGCTTTTTAAAGATATTTTAATTATATGAGCAGCACCAGAGGCACAGCTCAGAATGTCAGTCAGAATAATAATCTGTGAAGGTATTTTGTGCCCACTGTTTTATGAATACTATAAATAACAGAACTTATGGGGTCACCTAAATAACAACTTCACTCACTCACTCACTCAAAAAAAAAAAAAAATACAAAATACAAATTCAAAATACTTATTCAAAAGGAGCTGAAACAACACATTTTTTTATGTTTTGTTTTTGGGGACAACTTAATTGTATGTTTAATTCATTTAAATTTGTAAAAACTTTAAAATGAAGGAATTCTAGGGAACTCAGCTTTTTTTTTTTTACAGTGTAGGTCACAAAGATGTCGACTCCAATGTATTATTTAAAGAAATAGTTCCCAAAAATTTAAATAATTCTTCATTCATTCATTCATTCATTCATTCATTCATTCATTATTTCATTCGTTCGTTCGTTCGTTCGTTCGTTCGTTCGTTCGTTCGTTCGTTCATTCATTCATTCATTCATTCATTCATTCATTCATTCATTCATTCACTCATTCATTCTCCTTCGGCTTAGTCCCTTTATTCTAAAAATATACAAACAATCAACCATTCCACTGGGATGTGAATATAAGTGAAGTTTATTTATAAACTAATTTCGAGAGGATCACGTGCTTATGATTGCTTGCAGCCGGCCCCACATTATTCAATTTATGATTCACCAATCAGACGATTCCTAAGCCACTATAAATACCCCAAGTTCCATATGACAGCCATCTTCGTTTTAAATCCCTCCCTCCACCCCTATTCCTCCTCATTTCCTAGATGGGTGACACGGTTGTCCAGTGGTTAGCACTGTTGCCTTACAGCAAGAACGTCACTGGTTCTAATCCTCACCAAGCCAGCCGACATTTCTGTGCAGAGTTTACACCTTCTCCCTGTGCTCACATGCGTTTCCCCCGGGTTCCCCGTTTTCCTCCCACCGTCCAAAAACATGCTATAGTTAATAGTTAATTGACTACTCCAAATCGGCACCATAGACATGCTCCTAGTAAGTAGTTATCTCTTAAGAGCAATCACTATCTGTTCATTAGCTACCACAGCAGGGGAGTTCTCCAGATCTACCTGAGCTCAAACTCCCCTCTCGCCTTGCAAACAGGAGGAAGCCCCGGGCTCAAGGATCTTATGAGCGCAGGGCTCTCTCCAGGGACAGCATGCCAAACAAGCTTTATAATCAATCATCAGCTAAGAGTGAACTCTTGAAACCAAAAAAAAAAAAAAAAAACTAAGACCTCTGACAACACCACTGACTCGAAACAAGAAGCAGTGGGGAGTGTGTCACTTTTTTTGGGGTCCCCTCACACATTTCTGTTGTGATTTGTACTATTTGCATTGCATCACCTAAAGCGCATATGTTGGGACCGTGGGGGAAACCAGAGCAACCGTAGAAAACCCACACCAACACGAGGAGAACATGCAAACTCCACACAGAAATGCCAACTGGCCCAGCCGGGACTCGAACCAGTGACCTTCTTGCTGTAGGGTGACAGTGATAACTACTGCGCAATATATATTTGTTACAGTATTTGTTCATGTTAGTTAACTTCATTCATTCATTTTCTTGTCGGCTTAGTCCCTTTATTAATCCGGGGTCGCCACAGCGGAATGAACCGCCAACTTATCCAGCAAGTTTTTACGCAGCGGATGCCCTTCCAGCCGCAACCCATCTCTGGGAAACATCCACACACACACACTCATACACTACGGACAATTTAGCCTACCCAATTCACCTGTACCGCATGTCTTTGGACTGTGGGGGAAACCGGAGCACCCGGAGGAAACCTACGCGAAAGCAGGGAGAACATGCAAACTCCACACAGAAACGCCAACTAAGCGACCTTCTTGCTGTGAGGCGGCAGCACTACCTACTGCGCCACGGTCTCGTCCCTTAGTTAACTTTAGTTAATGAAAATACAGTTGTTCATCATTAGTTTGAGTTAACTCATGGTGCATTAACTAATATTAACAAGCATGACTTTGAATTTAACAACGCATTAGTAAATGTTGAACTATGAATAATAAAACTGTACAAGTATTGTTCATGATTAGTTTATGTTAATAAATGCATTAACTAATGCAACCTAGTTGTAAAATGTGAGTAATTATCAACTATGTTTAAACATTACATCCTATTCATAAATAAATCAGAAAAAGGTCCTACCTGAAGCAGTGGAAAAGAAATCACAGTTTCAGAGTCTGAGCCAAACGGCATGAACTGCAGACGGGTGCACTATTACTGAACTGCAAGAAACAAGATGAGGAACAGTCAACGTGCCTGACACTTCCACACACAAACACAATCCACCCCCCACTGATGAAAACATGCCTCATGTCTGTATTTCCACAGTATCTGCTTGTTAAGAGCACCACCCTCAACATCCACCCACTCAACCTGAACCCTCCTCCCACCCAAGGCTCAGCGGTCAGTCGTTTCCCGCCGTCCTCCCATGCAAAAGTAAACGTGACAGCTCTAATTGGCCTCCCCCAAAGATATATTAATAGCACTATCACTATAATCTCAGACATTGGAGATGAAGAGGAAGTTGGTTGTCTCCTGTTCTTCCAACATCCTTCAAGATCAAATGGTCCCACTTTATATTAAGTTGCCTTAACTAATATGTACTTACACTAAAATCAATCGCTACAATGTACTTATTATGTAAATACATGCTTTTACATTGTAGTTATGATTGATTAAATACTTGCATGTAATTGCATCTAAATTAATTACATCTTTACTTACACTGTTGACCATCCCTTACGCCTTAACCCACCCTCAAACCTACCTGTATCACTAAACCTGTCCCTAATCCTACCCGTATCCCACCTCAAGAGAGTCAGAAATGTTTTGCAATTGTATTTATTTTTTGATGCAAGTACACAGTATTTAAGACCACTTAATGTAATGTGGGACTCCACTAAGAAAGACATAAAAATAGATGCGAGTGCAAAGACTGGACTATGTTGCCGTTACGTCATGCAGCCCTTCTGACGTACTGACTGTACAAACTGTAGGGCTTGATGCTCAGATGTGACATCCGAGACGGGGAAGGATAGGAAAGGAAAACAAAGTAGGGAAGCAGAGGTTTTTGTTGAGTAGGTCAGAGCTGCTAGACATGAGGAAGAACACGGGGGACTTGTTTTTGGGAAAGCTCGATTGACTGACCCTGTGAGGTCAGGTTAGCTGAATTGTTTACGCTATTGGAGGGATGTTTTGTCATGTTAGTTTGAATTCAGTTTATCTCTATTTTTATATGACTTTGCATGCTTTTACTCCTATAGATCAGTGGTTCCCAAACATTTCAGCCCGCAAAATAACAATGGCAGTGACTCACGACCCCCGTTTCTTGAAGGTGGTTATAAATATACAAACCTTGCACACACAACTATAGGCCTATATAAACATGAGCATATTGACAACATATAAACGCAACAGTCTAATAACCTTATATATATATATATATATATATATATATATATATATATATATATATATATATATATTTTTTTTTTTTTTTTTATATTAACCTCAAATATCCTATTTTTAATGTATTAGACTGCCAAAAAGGTTGTCAGAAAATTTAACCTAGCCCCACAAAATCATTCTGTTGCAGCTAACACTATTTCTGTGTGGTTAATCTAAACACAGGGCTCGCAATCCAAAAGAAAAAAAAAGGCTGATATAAAGACTGGTGTTTTGGGGTAAACTCAGCCAAGACAAACTCTGCTAGGATGTGAAGGCTGCTTTTATCACCTTCACAAATGTTTTTCAAATCACCTCATGAGTGTAGTTGAATACAAACATATCTCTCTTGCATGTTGTTTGGTGTGGATTTGCTTGATATATAAAACAAAAGCAACCGGCAATGAGGTAAGTTTGTCAAACAATGAGAACAAGTTTGCTTAACACAGAAATTCGATAAGCCACTTCCTCAAATATTTGCCAACACAGGTAAATGGAATGACTTCTGTTATTTTAATTTGTTTTAAAATTATAATGACTTCATAGTTAGCACATTTGAACATTTTCAGTCTCAACTCTTCACTAACTGAAAGTATCATAAGCATTTGAATTGTTTAAGTGATACACGTATAACCTGTACTAACTCATGTTGAATCTTTTAAAGGAACACTCAATTTTTAATTATTTTTTGCAAATAGGATCATTTTACAAGGTAAACAGTTGAGTTTCCTATTTGTCAAAATATTCAGCTGATCATTGGGTCTAGTGGGAGTGTGTTTAGCTTAGCTTAGCATGAATCATTAGCATTTAAAAATCAAAGAAGAGTTTAGATAATGTTCCTATTTAAAACATAGCCCTATATACATTTCTGGAGATCACGAATTATGTAGCCAGCAGTACGTATTGCTGAATTTCGTTTTTAAAATGAATGCTGTAGGGTGGTATGATGCCGTTACTTTTAGCGCTTACCAGCTGACTGCTTACCTCCGTATGGACAGCTTTCCCGCTGTTACCAGTTTGACCAGTTAGCTCGCCATGCATGTAGGCAGAATTGAGATGCAGATAGGAGTTGACTACGATGACAAGGTTTGAGTCTGGTGAAAAACAGTTCCAGAAAGCAGGCAAGAAAAAAAACAAAAGCCAAAAAATAAAATAAACACGTAAATAACAGTGTGAGAATGTGGTAAAATTAGAACATGTGGTAAAAATCAGGCTAGGGCTTTTCTTTTTTTGGGTTGTTTTTTTAAACTGTCAGTTTGGTTAAGGGAAGTGAGTGGGTGGGCGGGTCAATTTGTGCTATTGAAAACACTATTGGTTGGGTTTAGGGAAGGAGGAACCATTCATTCAGTAAGTCAGTCAACAGCAGCCTCTGGTGTATTTACACAACAAAAGCAGGCGTAAATGGCACTCGCAAGAGAAATTTGAGATCTGAAAAAGGGTACACAGCAACCTCTGGTGGATTCGTGAAAACAAAAACCTCAAAAAACAGCTCCTGGGTTGTATTTGGCACTCTCCAGAAAAGCATTTAGCGAGTTTTCTGAATAAGCCTGGGTTGTCAAAATGCTAATAGTTTATTCCTATTGATGATTTATGCTAAGCTAGGCTAAACATGACCCCACCAAACCCAGAGATCAGGCAAAAATGGTAAAACTATTTAGTTCTGAGCCTATTTTTTTTAAATTTCGAGAAGAGTACGTGCTCATGATTGACACAGCAGGCCCACATAAGCTAATCACGATCCTCCAATCAAAGGATCCCAAGTCACTATAAACATATCCTCATTTCCCACAACTATCTTCATCTGGAAAAAACCCTTCTTTCACCTTTATCTAGAATGGGCGGCATGGTGGCCCAGTGACCAGCACTGTTGCCTCACAGCAAGAATACCAATGGTGCTGGGTCTTTGCTGGGCCATCTGATATTTCTGTGTGGAGTTGTATGTTCTCCCTGTGTCCGAGTGGGTTTCCCCCGGGTTCCCCGTTTTCCTTCCACTGTCCGAATATGCACTATATTATAGATAAAATAAGCCTAAATCTTATAAATGTCTTTCTCTCAGGAAGTTCACCTTAGCCTTAGCAGTGGGGGAGTTTTGAGATCGACCTGAGCTCAATCTCTCTACGCCCTGTGAAAGGGTGGGAGCCCTGAGCCCGAGGATCACTTGGGCACAGGGCTCTCTCCTGGGCAGCATGCCAAACAAGCTTTGTATAAATCTTGAGCTAAGTTTAAATTCTTAGAAGAAAAAGTTTTTAAAAAAAGTGGAGCAATCCTTCAACTTCCTATTGATATTTACATATATAACATTTTGTTTCAGTGGTATTAAATATGAAAAAACAATTATTATATGCTATCATCATTATTTAAAAGCTTTCTCTTTAGTGCCAGAAATTCTGTAGCAGTAATTCTGTGGTAGTATCTTTGGGAATCTTTCACGCTGACTTTTATGTGTCATGTTATGGACTAAGGACAGTTTTTGCTCAGTACTTTTCCAGCCGCCAAGGTTCTGAAAATATTTACAGCCGCCTTCACAAAGGGCACATAAGAGGTTGTTAGCTTAGCTGCTGCTGCCTGACATTTTATCTGCAGCAGAAAGTAACCCGAATGTTTTATTGGATCGTGTAGCTGTGATAGAGATGCGTTGGCTTCGGATGGCTCATATCAAGCCAAGTGTTACGACCCATAAACCAACATGAAAGGCAATTAGAGACCAAATTCCAGGTTCACGGATCTAAAAACAAGTGATTATATCTGTGTGGCCTTCCTAATAGTCAGCTTGGATTGAAGAACAGTGTCCTGTGAAAGATATTACAGAAAATATCCGCTACTTTAATGTATTTAGTGTGAACTCCGGGGTCACTATTTTTTGACGGACTGTGGTATAGGCGGAAATCATTCTGCTAGTCTATGGAAATTGTTGACTTTCATTTAAAATAAATGTTTCTAGCATACTATAGCTTGTCAGAGACACTCTCCCAAATGTCAGAAGACAAACTTATTATCTCAAACAGGAAATGGAGACTGGGGGAATTGGTGGGAAAGACAATATAGTAGAGGGTAAATTAACTACTACTTAATCAGATTTGAGCTCATTTGATAAAATGAGTCATATTCATTTGGCATGATGAATGCTGAGGTTTTATAATTCATGCATATATTTATAGATAATACACATGGTTCACTGAGCTGAAAATGATGGATATGACAATTTAGAATGTAATTTCACTGTTTAGAATTGTGTGCCGTGACAAACATTACTAAATATGTGTAATTTTTGTGTGCTGTGACAATGCTTAATCTGAGAAAATCAGATATAAATACATTTTTTTTATATAATACACTGTGTATGCATGTATGTGTTAACTAGAACTGGTGCAATGTCTCTATATACACTGTAAGAAAAAACAGCAGCATGAGGTACAGTTGTATGGACTAGTTGGCTAACATTGGGGTACCCTTTTGTCCTTATGATGTGTGTGTGTTTGTGCAGGGGGGGGGGCATATCAATACTTTTAAAAAAGCTGATACTGTGTTAGCCACAACTGAATATGTAATATTGTCTTCGTTTTCCTCATGCTGCCAGAATAACATCAATATATTAGCAGAATATGTTCCTTTAGGCCAAGAGTGCTCAACTCTGTTCCTGTAGATATACCTGTCTGCATAGGTCAGCTCCAACCCTGATCAAACACACCTGAACCATTTCATTAGAACCTAAACAGTACTTGATAATTACAGGCAGGTGTGTTTGATATGGTTGTCAACTGATATCTGCAGGGAAGTAGATCTACAGGAACAGGGTCGGTCACCCTGCTCTAGGCCAACAGTGCTGCAAAGTTTAATTTTAAACCCAAATTAAATACGCCTGAACCA